CGTGTCACCCTCCCGTAACACCTCTACACATATTCTTAGCTCTTTCGGTAAAGTCACGTTGAAGGGAAATAATAAAATAATAAATATATATAAAAAAATATCACGACGTTTCGACCATAACACAAACGACCGTTTGTGTTATGGTGAGAATTTTTTTATTGTGTTTATATATTTTATTATTTTATTGTTTCCCTTCAACGTGACTTTACCGAAAGAGCTAAGAATATGAATTACTGCAGTCACGAAAGCTTTAAATCAAAACCTCTACACATGTATAACACTTGTTAACCCAGCGAAAGGCTCGCCGAGTCTCAACACTCTTTTTCAGGAGGGCCCTGCCAATTTTTTTCGGTAGGGGGTGGGGGGAAAAGATCGCTATGCGCGTTTCCCTAATTGAGTAATGTTCTCACGTGCGGCTAGCTTGGACCCACGTCGCCGGCACACAGTGATCCGACTCTTCCACGGGCGCCCTCGCGGGATCTCTCGCGTGCACTGTGAAACAGACGGCGCGTGCTATTTTTCGGTGCAATGCGCGTGCAGTGTTAGCCAGGGCGGCCTTCCGGAATGGAACGGCGAAGCTCCGCGAAACGCCACGAGCGTGGCCCACGCTGTGCCGCGTCACCGCCCCGTAACGACGGTGATGGTGATGATGTAGAATGGGGTGGGGAACGTCCGGCCCGCGGGCCGTATAAGGCCCGCGAAATCATTTGGTCTGGCCCTGCCAAGGAAACCGCACGACTCGAAATTCAATGAATCTCGGAGCTTTTTTCAAAGCAACATAAATTTAATTTTGTATGGCCCGCGAATGATGTTATAAATATCCAAATGGGCCTTGGCAGAAAATGGTTCCCCATTGGTGAGTGATAATAATGGCGATGATGTAGATGATGGTGATACAGATTATGGTGATGTAGATGATGGGGATGATGTAGATCAGTGACCTTTCCTGCAACCATGCACCCCTTTGGTTCTCAATCGTAAAAAAAATGTAATAATGTTAAGAAATACAGAGGGTTTGATGAAACAAAGTAGTTTTACTTACGTGTCCGTGCTTAATTTGTTTCGATGATTTGCCTTGTAAAAAAAATCTGGTAATGTCTCGCATCCCCAGAAAGGGCATCTCGCACCCACAGGGGGTGCGTACACCTCAGGGTTTGAACCACTGATGTAGATAATGTAGATGATGGTGATGATGATGTAGATGGGTTCCTGGCTGGGGCGGTCCCCCTAGGCCTGGTTAAGGATTCAAGGTTAAAGGTTCAAGGGTCATCTTCACGGGGTCACGACTCCGAGTGAATACTGCGCGGGTTCTGAATCTCACAACCCCTCCTTCCACGCCCCTTGCCAGGAGTCAATAAATTGTCACAAATCAGGGTGACCTGCTAATCCTCCTTCGTCTTATTTACGTGTTTCATCTCCTCTGCACTGCTGGCTGTTTAAGTTGCTCCACAACAGCAGCCAACGCCATTCGCCACCAAGTGACGGTGACGTCACCACGGCGCCTATGCCAGGCTAGGTGCACTTTGAGGCCACCACGTGACGTGTCGATGGCTCGCCGACAGGAGGTCTCGGGTCAGACCCAGCAGGTGCCATGGGTTGGCTGACTGAGATGACTGGCAGATGCACCAGTTGTGCCCCCTATTGTGCCAACTTGCCGCATGTAATCATTCTCCGCCCTGCTCTCCGTTCATTGTTGTGCGCGTTGCTCCTCTGCCCTTCGTTGTTGTTGGAGGGCGACTGCCTCCAACTGCTCAGAAGCGTTTTTTTTCACGAGCCTACTCCATATGCGAGTGTAACAGCGGCTCGTGGTTTTCATATCGATCGACTTCTTATCCCGCGTGCTTCGACGTGCACGCATCATCAGCGCGATAATCGGTTTAATATTCTAAATGGGAGAACTGCCCGCGGTGCCAGGTGGATCGTGGCGGAGTGCCGTGGCCACAGCGGCGCACCCAGCGACATGCGCGCGGTGCACAGCGTTTGGGTAATTAATGGATTGACAACGTGTGAAATAAAAAGAAGGAATCCTGTTAACTAGAAACGATCACCAAGGCAACACCGCTCATCCCCTCCCCCTCTCTAGTCCAGTGTCCCAGGGGGCACCCGCAGTGGTGGAGATCATGGGGGGGGGGGGGGGGGTGCGGGGGGAGAGCTTTGAGCTAAGCCTTCTCATCAGCAGTCCCTGCTTAGTCTCACATGTTATCTTCCACTAGCCCCCTGGAACATATTTCCATCATCAGCAGCAGCAGCTGCTATGATCAATCTACTGCTGGATGGACTTTCCATGCCGCCGCCATCTCACGTGTAGCCGCTATGTAGGCCCGTGGCAGACCGTGAGGGTGCCGCTGTGAACCGCCACCACGAGCGCCTTGGCAGGCGGCCCCGGCGACGAGAGACGGCGCTCGATCGCCCGGCTCCGCGCGTCACCTTGCCGAGGGCGCAAAGAACAAAGGCGCTTTGATTTTGTAGCCCTCTTAACAAAACTCCGCGTGCAATGCGCAGGGCGTGCAGACGCACACGGGGTGGAGCGCGCGGTCGCCTCCACAACAGCCCCAGGCCGTTGTGGCGGTAACCCGTTCAGGCGGGCACGGCGCACCGGGTTGAGGTGGGAGACCCGGGTGGAGTCTCCACTCGAGCAGCGCGCAGACGACGCAGGAGTTGTTGAGAATGTACCAGGAATCTAGCCAATCGGGCACGACGTTGTGCGCTACGAAGAAGGGACATTGCCCGAAACGTCACGTAAAAATGTTTCCTTTAAAGGCCACAGCGTTATCGACAAGCGTGTTTCGAGCGTGTTGTTGTTGTTGCTGCTGCTGCTGGGTGCATCTCAGTGCCAACGCAGCTGCATCACCAAATAGTTTGTCAATCTATGTTGTCACGGCGGGGTTTACTGCGTGACTCCTCTGGCAGTGTGCACCATACTTAATGTCCCCCTGCATTTGCCGGGGAGAGTCCCTACGGCGTCGGCCCCACGGGGGAGCAGAAAGAGTCCACGGCGTGGGGAGCTCGGGGCACGCGCATCCTCCCGGAGCGCGCGGGGGCTGCCAACTCGCGGGTCGAGGGTTCTGTCCGACAGGAGGTGGCACGCACCCCTCCCCGCTCCCCTGAGGCTGCCCCGCATTATATTATTTTGATTAGCTAAAGCGAGTGCCCAACGGAGCGGGAAGTTAGCGACTTAAAGAGTCGCACGAGTCCCACGATTTGAAACAAAAAAAACACACCCGTCCGAGTGGCCCGGGGCGCCTGTGTCGGTGTTGGTGCCGCCACGTGCGTGTGGCAGGAGCCCTGGGCCCGCTCGCCGCACACCGCCACGGGCGTGCGCACCCCCCACCCCGGCGCCCTCCAGGAACGCTCTCCGACAGCCCAGCGCGTTCCCTCCGCGGCGCGAGGGTAATAACGATCAAAATGACAAGGGCATTAAATAGTGATGCACAATGCGAATTACACACCACGCAAAAGATTTCGTCAATACTTCAGTTAATGGGCCTTCAGCAGCTCTCGCATAATGCCGCCTTGTCCGGCCTGCTGTCGTGACACTCGCCTAAGTTGGCATCGGTGGAATTCCTTTTCTGCTCACCGTTGGGGAGGAGACGTGGAGGGAGGGGGGTTGTGTGGAGCGGGCGACTGCCAATGCAAGAAGTTGGCTACGATCCAACGCCATGGTCTTCAGCGGACGCATTATTGGCGGTCACACGCAGCCCTGCAGGAGAAGCGAGCGACTCCGTCGCGTCTCAATTAAGCCTGATCTTCGCGTTGGGGGAATTGTTTTAGATTGCATTTCTGCGTTGCGGGAAATTGGCTGGGGGGCAGGGGGGGGGGGGGATTGCTGAGCTTGGCATTACCACCGGCCCTGTCACTGCGATGTTGAGGAACGGCTAAGTGTATGTACTTTGCTTCATAAGCGTCGAAATAAAATGCACCGCTGTGCATTGTACGCAGTCAAGCGTGTGTGCTGCTGCTGCATGTGTACTATGTGTGTGTGTTGACTAAATAGCTGCAAGGCACGTGTGTATTTGGCAGCAAACAGACTGCATATTTAACTCCGTTAACTTCTTCTTTGGTTCTTTCGGTAAAGTCACGTAGAATGAGAATAAAATAATAAATTGATAAAATAAAATAACACAATAATATTCTCACGCCGTTTCGGCCACAACACAAGCGGCCTTCATCAGGTGAAGGGGACGAGACTGTCTGGAGGACGACTTGTGTCGGCTTGCTTTGAAATGGGGAAACTGCGTGGGTGCATAATAATCGTGACTTAATAAACGATCGCGTCCTCAGCGCCGCGGTATGAGCAGTGCATGCAAGCCGACTCGGGCTTTGACGTTTTTTGTAAGCTGCTCGTAAATCTCAAAGCTGTCCCCTGCTAAATGGAGACACGAATCAAATGAATTGAGAAGCCCACCAAAGTGCAATGGTTGCGTGCAGGGACGCACGTGTGGTGTGTTTGTGGTGTGTGTGTGGTGTGGTGTGTGTGGTGTGTGTGTGTGCGATGAACGGAACGCACCGCTACCGCGGGCTGCTAAGGTTAACGTGGATGTGGAACAGAAGCAGGCGTCCTCACCTGTTGATTCCTGCGTCGAAAAAGGTGCCTCATTAAAAAAAAACCAGAGAGACAGAAAAGCCATCCTTTAATTGGTTCGCTCGACATTTTGCCTACAAGTACTTGAACTCCAGCGGGGCAGCAGCGGGGCAGCAGCGGGGCACGCTCCCGCGGTGGAGTAGACACGTGGTGTGTAACACACAGACGACCTCGGCGCTGGCAAAACAACAAAAACCGCTCCCCCTCGCCCGACGCTGCCAAGAGCGAGAGCGGAGGAGCGCGTGGCAGGGCGAGGATGCGAGGGCGCTGGGCTCGAGTGAAAGGTCTCCACTTCTCATCCCCTTCTCAACCCCTCCTCACCCCCTCCTCACCCCCTCCTCACCCCCCTCTTCGTCCCCTCCTCACCGCACCCCCCCGCCCCCTCCTCTCCGTGGTTGTGTCGTGTGCGCGCCCACAGGCGCCGCAGCTCAGTACAGCTCTCAGAGAATACAAGACGACTGGTGGACCTACAAGGAGATCCCGAATGGCAACTTTGTTCCAGGTGCGTGCGCGTGGCTATCGTGTAAACGATGTCGTGTGGCCAGGTAACCCGCACGGACACCTTGAACCCCCCCCCCCCCTCCACTGGACTCCTGCATGTCGACATGTGTAAAGGTGCAGCCCTGCAATTGCTTGCTCACGCACGCCACTGCAAAGGGAAAGGTTCTCACTACATGGGTGCTCACAGAGGGCCTCAACAAGTGGGTGCTTTGGCCTACTCTTCCACGCCGGCCACACGTGACCTGCCGATGTACTAACTGGTACCCATTTAACTTCCCTATGCTTTGCACTCCTATCGTGGTTTTTGTACTGTTTGTTGTTTTAACGTTCTGACCCACCCCTCCCGGACATCTGTGAAATAAGAGCTTTATAGCTCATCGGATTTCTCTATTATGAAGAAATATTCTGATTATGAGGCAGAATTTGTTTATACTCGAGGAATCCGATGAGCTATAAAGCTCTTTTTCACAGATTTCCAGAGGACATTTTGACGAATGGGTGGACAGCGACGGGGGGCGTAGGGGAGTGTGGTGGGGGTGCGGGACGTGATTTGCTTCAACTACCGTGCCGTGACATGGAATCGAACCGGCGGCCTTTAAGTGTTCAAGCCCGGTGTGCTTGACCCATTACACCACGCAGCATTTAAAATTGGTTTGCAGCAGGTGATGTGGATTGTGAAATATTCATGCTTGAGAGCTGGCTCCAGAACGACCTGTACAGCTCGAGAGATGTGGTCAGCTTAGACTTTGTCAGAACTCCAATTCCATGAGGGCGGTGAATTGAGACGGTGGAACGTCGTAAAGTCAGGACTTTTTAATCCCCTATTCTTGTTCAACCGATATTTAACAACATGTGCCATAATTATAACACGAATATTTACAATACCATTATTCCCCATTTAAAAAATAACACAAATACAGATGGGGCATTCGAGGTCTTTATCTGAGAAGCTGCGAAGGGCATTCTGGGAAATCGCTCAGTGGGTTGATGATGCTATTGGCCGGTGTGAGGAGCTATAAACGCCTCATAATTTTAAGTTTATGGGTGAGATCGCGTAAATATAAATATGTCGTTAACCCACCACCAACCGAAACGGCCAATCAGAAAGGTTTGTCACGTAAGCAAAACGTGCCAATTGGTGGCTACTTCAGCACACCGGTGTGTTGGAGAGTGAACCCACAATGTCTACATTCCGAGCACGACGCTTCTCTGGCGATTACAACCAGCTTCATCAGGCGATTTTAATAAGATTGGTCGCTAAAGCCTACGTGTTAACCACCACCTGTCCTTCTGTAAGTTTGTTGATTTCTGAACCTCTGAATCTTGTTCACGGGTTCCTTTTACCGGATTTAACGCCTAGCCTGATGTAAATGCGGAAATTATTTTGAGATTATAATTATTACAAACTTAGGGGTAGTCAGGACAACGTGTAGGTCAATTGTCAAAGTAAAAAATTATGCTGATAATTCATAACATAACTTCATGATAAAATAAATAAAACCAACAATATCTACATCATTAGACCTCCTTTGCCAGTACCAAAATGTAATAATAGGGTTTTTCCCCTTTTTTTGGCAACAAAACTGAAACCTTTTTACGAGGATTCATGTCTGCATTTACCACGATACCTGCAGTCAAAATGCAAACAAAAAACATACTATGATAATATATGCATTGTTCTTGAAACTGATTGGTCCACGCCAAGGGACGGCTTTCTCTTGAGCCTCGACCCAATTGGTGCTCGACCAGATGACGCCTTTTGGCGTTGGTGCTCGACCAGATGACGCCTTTTGGTGTGGACCAATCGGTTTCAAGGACAATGCATATATTATCATAGTATGTTTTTTGTTTGCATTTTGACTGCAGGTATCGTGGTAAATGCAGACATGAATCCTCGTAAAAAGGTTTGTTTTGTTGCCAGAAAAAAAGTGGAAAAACCCTATTAAAACCAATAATAGTTACAATGACATATATAACGAATATAATCAACATTAGAAGCATACATATATTTACCTCGGCCACATACCTGTCCATGTTGCATGGCGTTGTGATTGTGGCAGATGATTGGCGGTGGGGGTGGAGACGTCATTCTGAGCAATGACGGCAACGCCCACAGCGTTGTCATCTCGCGAGGACGCTGCAGTTATTTTTTTATTTTACAAAATTTTACGCGGAATCGCAGAGCCTTTTAAGAGCATTTGCCGCCCTCAGGCCCTTAGAGGTCACGTTTGTGCAGCCGCTGCGATTTCCATTTTTGCATTTTAATCTCGATTTATTTTTCATTAAAAAAAAAATTTCCCTGCTTGAAAGCGACGTCGAGCACTTTCATTTTTTCTCGTATTGGTGAACAACAGTAACGACTGTTAAGAGTGGTGGTGGTGGCAGAGCCGCCTCACGCATCCGCAGGGTGATAAAAGCAGCAACTATAACACGTCATCTGCAGGCTTTAAATATCTTATGTTCAACACGCACAGTGTAGAAACTAAAAATATGACTTAATGTGGTGGCGGCTGAGTAAAAGCTAATTCATATTGCATATCCCTTATGCGTTTTTCACGAAACTGTCCTCGATTTTAAACTTTCATTTAAAACAATTTTAGTCAAATACTTTTAGGTCTGGCATCAAACCTAAAATGAGGCATTGCTCAAAAACATTACTTTGAGCAGGCGAACATGTCACAGTGTGTATATATAAAACGCAGCTTTGATCAGAGAGCATCGTATAAAAAAAGTATTAAAGAACAAATGTAAAAACTGATGACTGACTGAATATCCACCGTAGTGTCACCTACCGTCGGTGCAACTACGCTCGCCGCTTGCACGATGGATATCTCAACAGACGTATCCGGAGTCGCGTGGCTGCGCTGGGGTTAATCGATACCGCACGATGAACCTGGCAGCCTTCGTCAGATTGCCGACCACGGCTGACATCGGTGGCGAGCGACGGGAAATGTCCCCGACTGCGCGGGGCGCACCGCTGACGTATGGCGGTGGGGGTGGGTGCGGGACACCTTCCCAATTTTTCGTTTCCCCGCATCGCTTCTCTCGCTCACAACGCACGACGACGCTCCTCTTCCTCCGCTGCTGCTGCGCGCGCCACGTGGCGTTCGTCTGCTGGTGCGGCGCCGCTGCTGTGCGTTGGCGGGGGGGGGTGAACCCCGACCCGGAGACTCGACGAGGCGAGGCGCGCGCGCTGCCGAGTTAAGTCCGGCTCGCGTTAACTCGGCGGCCCTAGTTAATTTGCAGGGTTTAAAAAAAAAACTATTGTTGTCGTTGCTGCTGCCGTTGCTGCATAGCTTTGGTTTAATTCCATACGAGTGGGAATTATTTATACCGATTTAAACCCAACAGCCTCCCTGGAGAGGCTGTGCAGGAGAGTGGAGCATGGCAGGGGGAAATGAGCTGTACACACACACACTCTCTTTAGAAGAATGTGTACACTCACACACTCTCTGTAGACGACAGACAAAGGAGAAGAAGGAGGAAGGCCAAAAGCCTCTAGGGGCATGGAGTTGACAGCAGGAATGGTCAGGGGAAAAGAGTTCCAGATGACCTCCCACTGAACGAAGGTTGAATATAGTCTTTGAGAAAACAGCCGTAGTTGCTGGAGTGAAGAGTGCGTGCAGGAGATAGTAGAGTGGGTTGGGAGAGATGATTGGCGCGTGTGCCAGTCCGTGGAGGATCTTGAACACGGTTGAAGGCTGTCTTGAAGTTGATCCGGGATTGCATTGGGAGCCAGGGGAGGGACCGCAGTCCGCGGTTGATGAGGCCACATTCGTGGCAGCAGCTGAGAAGTGCGGCAGTAGTTAATTTAAATTAGCTGGAGTTTGTAGACTAGGGATTTGGGAAATTTATAGAGGAGAGAGTTTGAAAGTAGCCCCTTCCATTATTTAACCGGGGAATTAAATAAGCGCATTGAGATGCACGAAGGGGCCTTACTGCTTTTGCGACCTGAGCGATGAAAGCGTGGACGCGTGTCGCAGCAGCAGCAGCAGCTGGGGAAGGACAATGCCAGATACGAGAGACGTTGTTCAGGTGCAGGGACGAGGTCCTGCAGGATGAATATACGGGGAATAAAGGGATCAGTGTAAGCTCCGAGGCGTCGCAACACCTATTACCAGTGCGGTGCCAGGCTGTATGGGACGCAGGCTCAAACTGCTGTGTGCACCATTTGCCACCGAGGGGTTGGTCCCCTTGCGTTTAAAAAAAAGAAGATCTTTGTATCCGGACAAAATTCGAAGCAATCCAAGATGAGACCACGTCAAGTGAGGATGTGAGCGTGGACCGAGGGGATGAGCTCGTGCTGTCCATGGCGACGCAGATGCTGGCGAAGGAATAATCGTTGACATGAACACTTTAGCCGGAAGGGAGAGAGATCTATGAATTAGAGCAAGGGATCCGAGCACAATAATGAGAATAATCTTCTTTATTTATAGACCGCCTTTCATACCACAAGGTTCAAGGCACTTCACACAAGTGAAGATAAAATGAAACATTTACAAAGACAAATGTTCTAAAGACACTCACGAAATAATGAAATACATGAAGTGCGAATTTTCTTTTTTTTTTACGAAACAAAACTGTGAGATGCCAGAATAAAATAAGACGGCAAAAATTTTGTAGATAGGCCTCAAGCCTTTGTTTAACTGGAGCGAATGCGGACTCGTGGACACGCGCAGGGAGCGAGGGAGGAGTGAGTGGTCTGTGGAGTCGAACATAGCTGGAAGATCACTAGAGACCACAAGAGACCACGAGACACGACGAGAGACCACTAGAGGCCACGAGACACCACGAGAGACTACGAGAGACCACGAGAGACCACGAGAGACTACGAGAGACCACGAGAGACCACGAGACACCACAAGAGACCACGAGACGCCACGAGACACGACGAGAGATCACGAGACACCACGAGAGACCACGAGAGACCACGAGACACGACGAGAGACCACGAGAGACCACGAGAGACCACGAAACACCACGAGAGACCACGAGAGACTA